AGCAGGGAATTTCATTTCTAGGGATTTATCAATAACACATGAATAATTTTCCTATTCTTATGTAAATTACAGTTTCTTGTTTCATTGTTCTAAAAACTGTGATATTTATGGGAACACTTCGCTTCACTTATTTTAAAGGGATTTCTAACACAGTGGGAAATCAACTGTTGACAGTAGCAGATTCTCATTATTTTATGTGAAAAGAAATAGGTAGTATACAAATCACCCCATGAAATTATAAACTCTACATATCTCATGAACAGTAAGTACTTGCCACTTTGCAATTGTGCATTCTCTTCCTCTCTTTCCATCTTTCATTTATCCTACAACCTACCCAGAGATTGAGAAGTCCTAATCCATGGATTTAGATCAGAATTACTAGTCTACTTTCCTTATTGGACTAGGATGTTTAAGCTCTTGTGTGTGACATAGAGACAAATATTTCAGGTAAAGTACAGATGACACTGTACCGCCTCTACCTTAAACTTTACACCAAAGTTTAATAAACATGTATCATTTGTAAGGATAGCAATTCTATTAACATGTGATAATAGATATAATAATCACATCTTGAAAGTCAGTAAATCATAATTTATAGGATTATTGAATACCATGTGTGATTCTTTTGCTACTAATTTACAATTGCAGTGATTTACTTAATTGTGGCAAGAAAGATCGTAAAATAGGGCAAAAATCACTTAACAACAGAAATTTTGAGCTCAATAGTGGTTGTAAATTGAGGACTACCTGTAATAACAGAACCCTGTTAATTCTGATGTATTATGTTTAGAGTTATGAAACTTTAATATTGAACAGTTCAAGTAGTGTTAATAGTATAGAACTTCAGACACCTCCCAGACTGCCAAAGTCTTTATATAGTTATCTATGGGATCAAGGAAAGAGGAGGCAGCCAGAATGAAGCTTGTGATAAGAGTATTAAGAGGGGCTGCTCAAAGATATTAGAGTACTATCTGTGAATATTTTATTTTCTACAGCTTCATCATTTTGGGTGATGTAACAATACATAGGATCATTTACTTAGAACACTGCAAAACTTCCTCAGTGTACATTTCACACAGGCTTTCTTCTTTACTATTTAGCATTCAATACTGAGCTCCTTTAACAACTGTTATGAGTTTTGATGCCATTTAGATTTTTCAGGTAAAACTTATTCCCAAACAATGGACCTCCCACAGCTGGTGATATCACTTATATGACCATGTAAATAAGGAAAAATAAAGTTAACTCGGAAATGGAGACTGGTTAAGATAATAGGGTAGAAACCAGGAGACCATGAGTTTTAGTCCCACTTTAGCCATGATAGCCAACTGGGTGCCCTCCAGCCAGTCAATCTCTCTCAGTCCAGCTCACCTCACAGGGTTTTGGTTGTGAGAAAAATGGGAGGAGGAAGCAGTATTAGATATGTTTGCTTACTTTGAGTTATTTATAAAAGTAATAAAAGTGGGATAAATATATAAATGAAATATAGAAATGCTTTACTGGAATTTCTCATTCATGAAGAAATTATTTTCTTGTGAACCTTCAATGCAATGCAATACTTTTGACAGAATAGCTTTGTGTGTATGGCGTGTGTGTTCATTTGTAAGAGACAGATAGAGGAACCCATGGAAGATAGAAATGAAGAAGAAGCAGAAGCAAGGAAGTTGTTGATAAAAGAGGAGATGGTGAAACAAAAAGAAAAGCTTACTAGGCATAAGAAGAAAATCTAGAGAACTAAAAAACTCTGTTTAATAATGGTATTGGAATAAAACTGCAGTAGCATAAAAAAGCAAGAAGCTGTGAATTTATAAATATGGCGGGCCCAAAACTGATTTTTTTTTTTTTTAATTTAGAGGAAGTTTGTGTCTCTGAATGGCAAGAAATCATTTTTCTGGTTTTCAGGAATTGTGGTTTGGAATGCATTTGAGGATCACAAAAACAAAACAAAAAAATACAGGGGTCACTTATAGTCAAGGTTTTAAGGCTTTTTTGCTTTTTTTGAGAGTCTATTGTATCAGTGAACTTTGCAATGAATATCTTGCATAGGAATGCATAGACATAGACGGCATAGGAAACTAATTATACTCAAATACAAATATCAAAATATTGAAAAATAACAAATATGTACATTTATTAATCCATTAAATCAATAACAAGACAATTCTTTTTAAGTATAATAATAGTAATGAAATTTACTGAAGTTAGCAAACATTTGGGGAGCTACATATCATTAATTATATTGTTGTCTACATAAATTAATGAATGAAAAGGTAAATTTAAATTAAAGGATTGTGAAAATAAGATTGTAGTTTTTTCCCTATCCAAGTTAACATACCCTCCCTGAAATCTATCCATGTACCTACAAAGTCTTTACAGACTTGGGTTAAGAACCACTGACTTGAACTATAAAGGATTGTTTTGTGAAAATGGGATTGTTGATTAAATCCCTATTTGTTATCAAACATATTGCATGATGATTCATAATCTTTATTCCGTACTGTTGTTGTGATTTGTTTTTTTTTAATCATGCATATCAACTCCAGCTCCCTGTCAGAAGGGGGGGGGGATATAATAAATATTGGCAGGAAGGAAATAAATTGCAGGTTTTTAGACAAGTTTTAAAATTATATTAGTTCCAACAGCGCTAATGTATGTTTAAATGCTAATCTTTGCCATAAACTGCTAATACAAAGCTTTTATATGATATGGTCAATGTATAAAAAAGGAAAACAAATCCAACAGTGTTAGGTGTATATATTTCATTGTTCATAATAGCAGGTCACCATATGTTGAAAACCCTGTCCACAAGTTATTTATCCTTGGAAGGTATGTTTTATCAGAACAGAATGGTTTTCTTCTGCTGAACCATGACATTGTTGCTGTCACAATTTTATCCACTTCCTTGTTGAACTATATAAGCATTCCATTATCATAGCAACTTTCCTATCACCAAAAATTCCTGATTATATTAAGCACTTTGGACAGATATTTAATATAGGATGTTTTTTTTTCAAAAGGTTGCTTTTTTTTCAGATCTGAATAAATCAAGGCCAGCCCTACAAGTGATAGTATGATGGTATTAGAGGAATAGTTACCTTCTCCTTTATTTACATTTATATCTCATAAAGAATAATTTGTAATATTTTTTTTAATCCTTCCCATTGACCAATAATAATGTGTAATTCTGGTGCCATATTCCTTGTTTGTTTCAAAACCCCAAATCAGAAGACATTCAAAACAAACAATATATCCTGATAGGAAAACTATTTCTAAGGGAATAAAAAAATATTCTTTTCCTCCTCTTGCTTCTTATTTGAACAACTCATTGAATGGTAGTTTTAGGGCATTTTGAAGCATAGTACCACATACACTAAATTGCAAGATTTAAACATTTTAAATTACAAATGGCAGGAAGATAAAGTTCTATAATACAGATTAAAGTGAAGGAGCAACATCAGCAAATCTACTCTCAGAATACAACACTTTCAATAATTTTGTTGGTGCATATATTATTAATCAAAAGGAGGATTTAGATGTTAACAATTCATTTTTATCTATTATATTTTATTGTATTATTACATTTTGGTGATGTTATTCCTGATATTATCTGCCAGATACACCAAAGCAATTGGCTTCAGGAGCAAATTGTAGTCAAGCGGCACCATCTACTGTACCAGTTTTGGTGGTATTTAACACATTCAGCAAAATGGAATGTGAAATGGAGAGTGGCTGAAAATTCCATAGTTCATATGTTAACCAAACAATACAATTACATTGCCCAAACAATTTATTTTCAGAAACACACAAGCACACACATATACTATATATACTTAAATATTTTGACATTCTTTCAAATAGAAATCCTTTTGAGTCCCACTGATAACATCAAAAGAAAATTGGGTATTTCATTTTCCACTTGAAGTCAGTGACACTAAAATGCTTTGGATGGTTTGCACTTTGTTTTTAATTACTATACACTGATACATTAATTAAATTTCAAATTTACCAAAGGATACAGGAAGAGTTACCTGTTTTTACTTGTTCTCACTCAGAGATTTAAATAACAAATTTAAGAAGACAAATAAGGCCTCTTCCCCAAAAAATCTTACACAATCTGCTTTCTTTTAATTTCTGGGTCTCTTATCTCCCTTGTTGCATTCAAACTTTGAACAATACACAAAGCTAAAAACTATGCACAAAATTCTCATAGACAAAACTATAGCCAAGCTTCTACAATAGACAAAAGCTCTGGTCACATGATAGTCAGACTTACATGTCATTGCAGTGGACCGACTCGACTATCTGGTGGCTTCATGCTTAAAGACTGCCTCCAATACAGTAGATATGCTTTGCATTTGGAGGGCAATGAAAACAGAATTCATACCTCAGATGGTTAGTTGAATTCAGCTTCTCCAGGGCCTGCCTCCGATTGTTCTTCCAAGCTGATGTCTTATTCCTGGAAAAGCCTCTATCAACCCATCCCCATTCTTTCCTCCTTATATTTTCTCCAAACAAATATTGGTGCTTGGCATTGCCTTTCTAATACCATATATCATAGACTCACTAAAGTTTTCAGCTATTAGCAATTAATTCTCACCTACATTTCTGCCGATCGCTGTCCTATTTTTGTCACATGCATAATTTTTGTACTGGAAAACTTGGCTAATAGACTATGTCACCTATATGCCTTTTACACTGTGAAGATAATAGTTCCTTGACATTAGATCCTAGTGTCACAGCCATGTTATTCATATTCAAGACACAACAAACATTCTTAGAAAAGAGTTTTGAGCCTGTTTTTTTCCCCTGACCTTTACCAACTAAGCTTTTCTTGTAAAAAAAAAAAATCATACCTACCTCCCACCAACACAATGTATCAACACTACTGTAAATACATAAACAGTACTTGCATCACTCAGACATACTTTACAGCATATAGATGGATTTTAAAAGAATGGGAAGGGAGGTAGAAGGAAGGAAAGAAGAAAGTCATGTAATACCTTTACTTTTACCTATGGATTTGATGAAATGGTTCCATGAAGAAAGTATTGCCAGACGGAAGAGAAAACAAAAAGAGAAACAACAGTAAGAGTTGTGTGTGTAAATGTAAATGCCATCACAGTTAAAAACATGAACAGAGACAAAGCTTGAGGCAAATGATTGAAGACAATGGAGATGCAGTTGGTGTCATATTTTAAGAATTACTGCTTTCCAACATGCACAAAAATACAGAAGTAACCCATGCTTCATTTTTCAAAGGCATGACACAAAAGTAACATGAAGACTGAGTTGGGTGGGCAAGAATTTTCACAAGGTGATGAGGACATATCATTAATTCCATTATGCTGCAAAAATATGTTCTTAACATTCCAGAAGCCAAAAACAAATGGTTTCTGCATTTTCCAAACAACCATGCATTAATGCAAAGCAGATTTCTTTTTTTTTGGGGGGGGTATAACTCAAGTGTCTTCTTTCATATCTATCTGAAGAGTGCATTTCATATTTTATGATCATCATTATATTTAAACTCATAGCAATTTCTCAATATGATTTTTAGAAATGGCACCCTTTCTAACAATTATTTTATTGTTAGTGGGATAAGGGAAACAATAAAAAATAGAACAAAAAGATTCAAGACCAAATAGTAAAAAATAACAGCAACATAAGTTAGATCTATTTATAGACACAGTGCAAAAAAAAGGAGGGGAACAAAAGATGTAATTAAGACTGTGTGAATATTTACAGCCTGAGACAGCTCACAAGCATTTGGCCATCATTTGTTATGATGGATTTTGAAGCAACTACACAAAAAAGAAACAAAGAATTTTTATAAAATAAAATAAAATGATCGAAGCAGAGTGGAAAAGGAGCAGAACCCATACCTTGGTCGCCCATCATCAAGTGCGCCAGACCTTAAAGGGAAACAAGAGCACAGTCAGCAATGAACAAGGGTTCAAGGGAAGGTGGTAGTGTCACAGTGACTTTTTAATTTCTTTAATAACAGGTGTCTGTCTCCTGTGAAATATTTGCATAATACTGCAAAGTTAAAGGGGCATGTTTCAACCACCATTTGGAATTCTTTTGGAGGTGGGAATGGGACAATTGTATTACTATTTGAACACAATAATTCTGGATTACCTTTTATCTTCTTTAAGCATTAAAATGGGTTTTAATGACAAAAATAGTAAGAAAATGATTTCAACTTCAACCAATTCCTAGAATATTTGTTCATAAAACTCATAAATACTTTTTTTTTGCTAGATGGATGCTTCAGCCTGCAGTTATAAAATAGTTTCTTTTTATTTATTTATTCTTCTCCAAACCTGGAGTAGTGTCAACCTGAAGAATGGGCTGGGTCTGATCTTTTTCCTCTCATTGAAAATGAGTGTTTCAAATAATTAAATAAAATAATTACTTTATCACATTGAAATGAAAATGCAAGGGACATTTCCTTGTTTGTGTGAAACATTCAAGCTAAAATAAATACATTTCTGAATATCATCATCATCATATCTAGTGAATGGAAAAACAGTATAGTATAAAGTGAAAGGGGGAGTCCTTGTTATCAATTGCTTTGACCAGCTGAAAATGAATTGCTCTTTTGGTTCACCAAAAGTAAGCCTATTTCTTAACTATTGTTTTTCAAGATAGTAAAGAACTATAGGTTATATAATTCCTTACCAAGCAAATTATTTTTTAAAAAATAAAGCTAAACAATATATATATATAAATATATTTTTATATTTATAAAAAAAATGGGAGATTGGGGACTGTATCCTCTTAAAATAAATATGCATCATGTTCAACTTTACAAACATTAATAGAAATTAACTTTAGACAAAAGAAACACCTAATTTAAAAACAAAGTCATAAAATATTATTCTATTCCTTTTGGAAGAGGACAGAAGAGTCACAAAATACAGTCTCATGCAGTTCATTGTTACACATTTCTTCACACAAATAAGGTATGAAAAAGAATATGCTGGTTTTCACTGGAAGGTAAGATTCCTAAACTTTATTAAGGTTTTTACTTCACATAGAAAATTGAGCATATATGCAATAAAAAGGTAACATGTTCTCCTAAATTAGGAATGTTTTCAGAAATAGAGTTCATGTTATAAATTTCATATTATGTCAATCAAAGAAAGAAAATTTTAAACAATGTAGCAAATTTGAACCACAAACTGGGTTCTGTTACAAATATCAATCCTGTGCCTGCATAATCACCTCAATAATTACAGTAACTGTTTTTATTGTAAAGGAATCTATTCCAAGTAAATCCCACTATAAGCAGTAGATGTTATTCTCAAATAAGTTATAAAAGCAGTTGTAAAGTTAAGTGCAAAATGTATCTACAGAATGTATCTTCTCTGGATTATATTCCATAGAACTCAATGGGATTTATTGCATAATTGCACCCCTCCCCCATTTTCTTTCCTATGCAGATTTAAAGTTCTTTCTAGCATTAGAAATTGTAATATATACAATGATCAAAATTGTATAATATAAGAATTCCTTTTGAAGGAATGTATATAGACAGTTGTGGGATTCAGCTAGTTCGCACCACTTCGGCAGAACTGGTAGCTAATTTTTTGTTGCCCAGGCCTAGAATGGACTTCCAGAAGCAGCATCCACACAGAGAACCAGTTGTTCACATATTTGAATCCCACCACTGGTTATAGAGAAAGTGGTCTCATGGAAAATTCAAAGGGCTTGGATAACATGGATTATCTGAACCACTTTCAGGCTGGGATATGGGACTGAGTTGACTGCGTTCCTGAATGATCTCTGGCAGGAGCTTGATAGAGGCAGTACATCCATAATTGCTCTTCTTGATCTCTCAGCAGCCTTCAATAACATTGATCAAAATATCTTTCTGGACCAGCTTCATGAATTAGGAGTAGATGGCACAGTGTTGTGCTGATTCTCCTCCCCCCTCTGGGGTTGGTGCCAGTTGATGATGATGTGAATGAAGAGGTACAGCACATGGCCCCTGCTTTGTGGGGTGCCACAGGGTTTGATTGTCTCTTCCCTCTTATCTCACATCTACACTTGACCATTGGGTAAGGTGATCTGATGGTTTGGGATGAGATATCATCAATATGCTAATAATATCCAGCTTATATCTCCACCCTGGGCTGCCTGAGTGATGCCATGGAGTCCTGTTTCAGAGCCTGGAGGCTATAAGAGCATGAGTGGGGCACAATGGGCTTTAGCTCAAAACAAACAAGATGGAGTGGCTGTGGGTTCTTGGGCCTTCTGGTACCAATGTTTTGCCATCTCTGGTTCTGGATAGAGTGGCACTATCTCAAATGGCCCTGGTGTACAAACTGGGGGTCTTCTTAGGCTCACAACTCCTGCTGAAACAGCAGGTGGTTGCTGTGGGTAAGAGGGCCTTTGGATTGGGTGCCAGCTGCTTTGATTTGTGGATCAGGGGGTTCATTACTCCCATTTGGACTACTGCAATGCCCTCTATATGGTACTGCTCTTGGTGAAATTTGAAAGCTTCAGCTGGTACAGAATGCAGTTGCATGGGTTGCAAATGGTGTCAGCTACTCAGCACATGTACTGTATCACCTTTCCTTCAGAGGCTGAATTGGTTGCTAGTGTGTTTTCAATTGGAATTCTAAATACTGGTACCCAAGACCTTTATGGCTTGGGACTGAGTTACCTGCAAAACCATCTTCTTACAGTTTTTATTCATACAATCCAGTCCAATAGGATGGGCAAACACTTTGGGCATGTACTGACCAAGGAATGTCAGCTGACAGGGACCAGGAGTAGTGATTTTCTGCATAATGCCTATCCTCTGAAACATGCTCCCTCCTGAAATAGGATGGCCTCAGCCCTGCTGGTTTTTGGAAAGGCCCTGAAAAACAGGTGGTTCCTTCAAGTATGTGAAGGGCCCTGTTTCAATTATGCTGACACTGGTGGATTATTAATTGGTTTTATGATTATTTACCACTTAGAATTACTGATTTGATATGGGTGACTATACAAAATAAATAAATAATAAATGGATGAATAAATATATCAAGTCTGTCATAAATTAAAGTATGAATAATGGAATTTATTCTCACATATTATTCTCATGATATTATTCTCATTCAGATAGAAAGCATAACAATTCATGTTTTTTTAAGAATATTAGTTTTTTGTATCTGAATTTTATATTGCCTGTGTTATCTGTTAACTATATAAACCCATGCATCGGTCAATGATCACAATAATCTGAAACTGAATTTTTAAAAAGTGCGCAACAATTAACTATTTTTTTTGTTTTAAAATGTAGTGATTTAAAATAAAAAGGGAAGTATATATGAAACATTGACATATGAATACTTCTTATTGTGTGCCATGAAATTCTTAGTAGGGATTGTTGTATATAGTATGAGGAGCACTAACCTGCTAACTTTGCTACATTTTCTTTATTTTGTTCAGTGAAATGTGAAAGTCTTAGTTGATCAAGGCCACAATGATCAGTGGAGTAAAAGATCCAAGAGTCTTATATTGATGATCATGCAAGTTGTAACTTGTTTTAAAAGTACATGATAAAGAAAATGAATTAACTAAACAAACAGAAAAAACAAACAAAAGAAAAATTTGTCCCTGAAACTAAGAAAAATGGGGCAGATACAATTTATTTGAATAATAATAATAATAATAATAATAATAATAATAATAGTAAAGTTTTTGATGAATGCATAAAAGGAAATAAAATATAGACTTAATTATGGATGTAAGTACTCAAATACTGTATATGGCAGAAGGTAAGGGGGTTTTGTACATGTTCATGGATGCATGGATGCTGTGTGTTATAGTTTAGTGAAGGATGAAAGAACTTGCAGTGATTTGTTGAAAAAAATTGAAACATTTTGAATGAATGCAATGAGGATACATGATATGAGGCAATGGGCTAGAAACAAGAAGAGTGAAATTAGAGTGGCACTTAGAGACCCAGGAACAAATGAGAACGTTGATTACAAGTGGTCTCTAACTTATGACCACAAATGAGCCCAAAATGTCTCTTGCTAAGTGAAACATTTCTTAAGTGACATTTGCCCGATTTTATGACCTTTCTTGCCACAGTTGTTAAGTGAATCACTGCAGTTGTTAAATTAGCAATATGAATGTTAAGTGAATCTGGTTTCTCCATTGACTTGGCTTGTCAGAAGGTCACAAAATGGGATCACATGACCCCAAGACACTGTAACCATCATAAATATATAACAGTTGCCAAGCATCTGAATTTTGATCATGTGACCACGGAGATGCCGCAATGGTTCTAAGTGTGAAAAACAATCACTTTTTTCGGTGCTGTTGTAACTTCGAACTGTCACTAAATGAACTGTTGTAAGTCAAGGACTTCCTGTATTTGGTGAACAAAAAGAATGTTTTTTTAAATACCAGTTTTAAATGTGTGTTTTTTATTCATACTTACGCTGTAAAAGCAGGATTAATTTTCTTGTTTATGATAAAAGTCTGAGAGAATCAATGGACACAAAGTGAAGAGAGGATCTGATTGTGGAACAGATTATTATTTGCCAGTATAAAAACTGATACTGAAAGAAAAGATCGTGGAAGGAAGGAAGAGAAAAAAAATGGAAAAAGCTGAAGTGAATGTAGAACAATTATAGAAAGAAATGGCATAAACTGTTTATGAAAAATATTAACCTGTCTTCTAATTTAAACAGAATGAATGGAAAGAGAATGAAAGAAAAGGTAATACATACTCTGCTTGCAAATGAATAAAGAGAATTGTGCTATAAAGTATCAGACTTCACACCTGGCTCAGATCTCCAGACACTTAACCCTTAATTCACCTCTCAACTAGACTAAATGGAAGACCCCCACACATAATTTGCCTAGATTAAAAACCATATTGCTGACCAGAATGAAGCTTTAAACAGCAATTGATTGCCAACTGCAAAGCAAAGAAATTACAAAATTCTCCAGGTTTTAAGTTCTACGCTTCTTCCTCTCAGTTTTCCAGATTAACTAAGTATGGCCCTTGGGCAGTGGAAGTTTGTTTGAAATAGAAGCCCCTAGGCTGGAGCTTCTGCTTTACAGCAAGTACCACAGCGGTATATGGTGATACTCTAATGAAAAGTGTGAAAAAGATGACTGATAGAATGAAGAGGTAGGACAATTAAGAAAAAAGTGCATGTAAGAGAATGCTATCAAAAATGAGGATAAGAGAAAGGTATTTCTAATGTGTATATAGAAAAAAAAATAGTTGTTATAAATGTAATCAAAGAAAGCCATGTATAGTTATGATTAAAACAAAAGAATGATCTTTAGGGCAAAGACTAAAATGGGCTTCATTGCTTCACATATAGGAATCATTTTGGTGTATTAACCAGTTTTGACATGCGTCACCTTTTAATGTATATGCACTGCTCTATTAGGCCATGAACACTTTGCTTGGATGTTACTTTTGCTGTGTGTAACTGCCTGCAATTATACACACAGCAATGTATAAAGAATTTTGATTGATCTCATTCATATCAGTTCATACTGAAATGTGTACAAGTATATAACCTAATTTTTCTTCTCTAGATGGATTTTTAATCAGTTTTGAAAACAATCACTTAATTAGGATGTAAATTGTGTAATCAACCAAGCCAGATGGTTGATTAAGAGAGTGTTTCTGCCTGACCTCGCAGATAACCTGAATGTCAGAGCCTCTAATAGTTTAAGTGCTCTGCTGGTAACAGGTTGGCAGGGAAAAAGTCAGGAAGTGTAATTTACCATCTTTGCCATTTTTAATAATTTGTTTGATTATTTTCTTCCTTATTGATGGGGATTTGCATAGTTTTAAACTAACTCTTGGGCATGCTGAATTACCATGAAGGCTTTGGCTCATTTAGCATCAGTGATTCCCTCAATTTCTTCCCATGCCATGCACTCTGCTCTAGAACTGTTACAGCACAGATGGAATCACAGACAGGGATGTCAAACTGCTGGCTGGCAAGCAGGTTGCATCATGCAAAGGCCACGCCCACCTCAGCTCCAGCAATGCAAAAAAAGTTGTGATATGTCGCAACACATCACGTGATGCACTGAGTTTGACACCCGTGGTCTAGGATATGGAATCCAATGACAGGGTTCCCCTCCAAACCCATAGCACATCTGGGGAAGCCAGGTTCAATTAACATCCATATTACTAACTTAACAACTGCAATGATTCACTTAACAACTCTGGTGATAAAATGGGGCAAAATTCTCTTAACTGTTTTGTATAGCAATAGATATTTTGGACTCAACTGTGGTTATAAGTGAAGGGCTACCTGAACTTAAAGAGATTGACTTGTTTGCTAATTGTGTTTTCTCCACTCCCAGTTTAAACAGGAAGTGAGATAATCCTTATATTACAACTATTCATTCAGCAACCATTTGAAGTTACAACGGCACTGAAAAAAGTGACTGACAACCAGTCTTTGCAGTCACTTACAGCTATTGGAGAACCCCCATGGTCACATGATTAAACTCCATAAACTTGAGAAACAGCAAGTTTTTACTACAGTTGCAGCATCCCAGGGTCATGTGATTGCCATTTGTTACTTTCCCAGCTGCCTTCTGACAAACAAAGTCAGAGGAAGCAGAGCAGAGCAAGGGGGAGAGCTGGATTTTGCTTAATAACCACTTAATTCCCATAGCAATTGCAGTGGAACTGCAGTAATTCACTTGACAATCATGGCAAAAAAGGTCATAAAATGAAGTGCAGGTAACTTAACTGCCTTCCTTAGCAATGGAAATTCTCGTCCGAAATGGGGTTGTAAGTCAGGGACTACCTGTACCACAAAGATGATATGACTTGGAGATCTGCTGATTTTTCCTTTGTTAATTCTATTTCTCATTAGATGATGGACATATTAATCAAGGTAACACAAGGAAATAAAAGGAGATCATATAGTAAACAAGCTTATATATGAAGAAGTGTACATAGACATGAGTGATACAATAAGTGAGAGAATATGTAGGCATCAACATCTGGCTCTGTATACTCATCTTAACTACCAATGTTCTTCAGACACTATTCTGCAACACATATGGATAGCAGCATATATCTTTTTTTCTTCCTTATGAACAATTAGGTTAAAAAAATCTTGCTTAAAGGAGAAAATCCTTAATCTTCTTTACTGAAGTGATCCTACAGAGTGCAATGAAAAGCCAGCTGATTCTCCATGAGCTTCCATGTTTGCCTCATTGGATTCTCAGAGGGTGTTTCCTTTCATTAAGTAGTTGGCATGGTTTTGTTTATACTGCCATATCTTTCTTTAGAACATATTACCTTAACAATTAAAGCCATTCTCCTGAAGTAGAGTGGTTCTGTTTCTATAACTTATGAACCATATGGCATGTTTGGTTGTCCATAAGAGAAGGATTCCTTCTCTCCTTTGCTTCCTGCCTGGGCTACACAATTGGCAAAAATGCAATTAGACCACAACAGATGGTGGATACTGTTTTCGCCTTGGTAGGTGGCCCATCAGATTCCTGTAAACATCAGATAAACAAAGCACTAATCTACTGTATTTTCTATAAATTACAAAATCTGCACATATTCAGATTTTACCAGCTAAAAATGTACATACCAATACACTAATTTTGCAAGATTATATACTATTTTTGTTATTTGCTTTAAAATATTTATTAAAGCAAGGCTGTCTCTTTCTGCCTTTCAATAAAATAAATTGTACACAGTCTAAAGGAATTTGACCACAATCAGATTCTCATGAGTCCTTATTATGTGTGAGAGAATAGTAGTACAAGAGGCAATAGTTAAAGAAATGCTGCTTATTAGTAGGCAGCATTTATATTTATCACTTTTTATGACATTGGAATAAATTAAACTCAATGTCAACTGAAAGTCATCACAAACACAATATTTCAAATGTTAAACTGGGATTGGATAGACTTAGATTCATGACAATCCTTAGTCTTGATTGAATTTAAAAATGTCATAGTCCCTCAGTATAACCTATTCATAGGGATGATCTTTAAAAACAGATAAGAGTGCTACATATGCCATCTTGCACTCATGGAAAAATAATGGAATATACATTTAATGAATAAGAAAAATGAAATTTCATGAATAAACTGATAAATAAACAAATTATTCTTGCAAAACTGGAAACTGGCATGAATAATTTGACAATGTGATGCATTATTTTGAATACGGATCATGTCCTGCCTCTCCCATGTAAGATAATAAAATTAAATCATATACTCTTTATACAATAGTATTATAAAAGACTCCTAACCATAGTAATATAAGCAATAATCCAAAAGGTTATCATGCAATCACAAGGCAGTGAATACAGTTTTGTTGTTATTGTTGTTTTCCTCCACTAGATTCCATTAAAAAAATGCAAAGTCATGAAAGTTTCTACAGATGTAGAAGGGAAGTTTCTCCTTTCCTCTTTCTTGAAGCAGTTCCTCAATGTTAAAGTTAAAATTGAACTCCATGCTTAAAAGAAAGGCTTATCATATATTTTGAATTACTATATAGTGTTTTTAGATGTATTGATTATGAAGACAAAGTTAATGTCATATCACAATGTAGTTTTTTTTAAAAAAAATAATCAGTGCAAATTATAGACTAGTAAGACCAATCCTATTAGGAAAAAATTAGGAACCATATAAATTCTTATGCATATCCAGGACAGTTTCTTGGTTGTTGTCATAGTTTGAGACATAATGTGTTCATTGGAATATTTTAAATATAAATTTGACTTTATTTAGTTATTAAGTTACAGTGCATGAAAGCAACTTGTAAATAAAGTCACCCATTTAATAAGCTTATAGAGCAGAAATAAATATGTGGTACTTGACTTCTATTTTCCCCAATTAAAGCTAGATATCATTTGCATTTTTAGCAGTGACTTTTCAGTTGGGGTGGGTGGGTAGGAGAGAAATATCCAGAACCATGATCTTAAGACTTCAACATTCTCATAAAGAAAGAACAAAATCAACTTACCGTTTTAATGATAAGATGTATCATTATAAACACTAACCTGGAGGCAAAACACTAAAGAGAAGGTATATGCAAGGACAGAACAGAGCTTAAAAAATAAGATAGAAATCACCCACCTTCCACATAGTTGTCTTCTGAAAGCACATAACAGGGAGGGAGAGAAAGGGGAAAAACATTCATTAAGCAGCATGCAGACTGGAACTTGCCTTTGCATGTTAGCATCATGCAAGGCATCAAACACCACATGCAAGTGATCCATTGCTATTATCCAAAAGGAAGCAGGGCAGGGGAGACCCGAAGCACAGGGAAGAAGTGTTTGCTCAGTTAAAAGGAAAAGGGAATCCCACACAATATGGAAGAAAAACAAAACATGCCATTTCTCAAATGAAAGGAAAGTTTGATCATTAAATGGGCCTCTACTGTATCTGGATTCATCTGTCATAAGTTCTTACATCAGTCAAGGACTGAATTTTCTACATGAAGAAAATTTTAAACTGAATGAGAGATAAAACTGCTGGGATCCAAGTTTGTTTGAAAGGTGCACCCTCTGGATTTAAATCCTTTTCTAAGAGGGTAGGAAAATTATTCAGTAGCTAAAGAAAAACCAAGTATAACTTAAGAAATCCTATTTATTATCCTTACATCTTTCATAGAAAAGTTCTTGCATTAGAAAAGATAAGAATTGTCTATTTGGTTTTGTTTTCTTAATTTCTCTGCTCCTGTGATATTTTTGTTTGTTTTGTTTTGTTTTGTTTTGTTTTGTGCAAGAGTTTCCTGGATGATGTTTTTCATATTATTCATCTTTGTGCTATAAAGTACTTCATCTATTAAATGGCCTTACCTACAGATTAAAAACACTGAAGAAGCAGAGCCATTAAACATTAAGGTTAAAATGGAACCCTAATTTAAAATACTCTCTGGCTCTAAATTTGGTAAATTGCTCTAAGCTAAGTCTTCTACAAGAATAATTACATCATCTATGTATTTTACTGAGTGTGATCACAACATACTGCATATTTTGAAATTGTTCTATTGAAAAAATAGCCAGTTTCTTAATAACTTTGATTTTTGTAATCCAGATGGGCAATAAATATTGAACATGGAATGCACAGTTATGGGAATAAATTTTTAATGGTTTCTTATGTATGCTTTGTGAGTTGTGTTTAGCCTGGTACGTCAAATGGTGTGCAGGAGTGCAATATAAATGATTGTGTGAATTAGTCACACAGAGTCAAACAAGAATTCTTAACCCCACAGGTCATTTAAAAATGAGCTATTGATAAATGTATATAACACAATACTAGTGTGATCAAGGACATACAATAGAGAATAGAAAGTGGCAAACAAGTAGCACCCAACAGATCAAACTGACTGAAGTAGAAGTGATATGAATTTACAGTAAGTGCTAGCTAAATTTGAGGATACACTTTCTCCCTGAGATTATAAAAACAGAGTTATTGTCAATCTTTTGGCAAACTATACTTGTGCCTGCTGGTCTGAATTTGATTTCATGTAATACTAGCAAGCAGAAATCAATCAACTAGTAGTCAAAACATAGGAAGTCAATCAGGCAAGGAAACAAAAGTTGATAAATCACAAGATAGATCAGTCAGAATTCATCTTAGTTGAACCTAATATTCCTTTCATATTTAAATCATACCAATGTCTACATAGGAAAGAAATGGCATTTTATTTCATTTCAGTTCCTAATTAATTCCATCACATTTGAAACTTTCACAGATATCATATGGTTTCACTTGTAATGTTATTCATACAATGCTACATTTATTCCTCCTCAATATCAGCTACAGATCTCAGAAGGTCCTTCAAAACACACCTTCAATGAACTCTGTTCCCTTCATGAGTCACCAACATTTTCCTCATCTTTTTTCTGCTGTTGGCCAACCAACCAGCAAGAAAGCAACTGAAGTTATAGCTGCTTCATCTTACTAGCATTAATTGCTCATTCCATTTGGACACAGCACGACACTAGAAAAACAAATTTAAGAAAAAGAGCAGGACTAAAAAGCTTCTGTCAGTGGATGATCTCAGGATACCAGTACTCAGTACTCAGAATGGATCACTAATGCAATCCAAAGCTACTGGCTTTGCTAAGCTTTTTTAATAGATTACTTTTATCCTGCTTTTATTATTTTTATAAATAACCCAAGGCAAGAAACATATCTAATTCTCCTTCCTCCCTTGACTCCCCTTCCCCATCACATGTTCTTTACCTGCCTCTTCTGCTTAACAACTCCTACAATTTGGGATTATGACACCAACTGGGACTGCCTGACTTTGTTGTCGCTAAGTGATGCTATCACATGACCTCACATTCTATGACCTCATTGCTTAGTGAGGGCAATCCCAGTCCTAACTGCTGTCATAACCCAAGTTCTTGTACTGAATGCTTCCACCATCCTATTTTGGAAATAAATTTCAGATGGTCTGTGACATTCAAAACATATTAATCATTTCCATGATTGGATAATTTGAAGAACAGAACAAAGAAAGAATCTGTCAAATAGTTAGGAACACTGAACAACAGTATTTCTACAGGATTTCACAAAGGCATCTTGTTTTATCCTTCTTGGAGATGGCAGAGATGGAATCTGGATGTTGGAGAGACTGTCTTCTATTTTTTTTCTTTTTATTGTCTCTTATTTATTTAATTTATTGATTAATCAAATTTATATAGCTGCCCATCTCACTGAAGGCAACTCAGCAAGGTGAACAAAATCAAATAAGAACAATGAATAAAATCAAAAGTGTACAATGTAAAAAAAAAACCCTTATTAATAAGTATAATAAAAGTGAAAGATACAAACCACAGGAGAAGGAGAATAAAAATGATCACTTCAGCAATGGAGCCATATGGGCAAGTTTCCTGTTGCCTAGCAGTCCCCATCCCGACAACATAGCCAAAACTTTGAGAGTTTTACAAAAAATGTGTTTGTTTGTTGTTTGTTTGTTTATTGGCAGCTCATATTACCACAGGTTAATTCTGGACGGTTTATGAAAAGGGATGGAGCTAATCTAATTTCAGGGGGAAGAACATTCCAGAGGGTGGTTGCCATAGCAGAGAGGGCATTTCTCCTGGGATCCACCAAATGAATATCCCTAGCCAATGGTACCCACAACATGCCAACTCTGCCAGATCTCTGCCAGGGTGCACTGATGCAACCAAGGAGAGGAAATACCTCAAATAACACAGTCTCATGCTGTTAAGAGCTTTAAAGGTTAAAATCAGCACTTGAAATTGGACCCAGAGGCAAACTGGTAGTCAATACAGCTCGCAGAGCAGAGCAGCAGTAACATGTGCTGCTTTAGGACTCACATAATAGCTTGCACCACTGCATTCTGCACTACATCAGCTGAAGCTTCCAGATATTTTAAATGATATTTAAATACGTTTTTTTCTCCATATCCAAAAGAGAGAATAAAAGGGACAATAAAAACAGCTGAATGCCGTAATCCAAATTGAGGTTGGGAAGGGAGAAGGATTTTACTGCATCACTTAAAACTTTTTCAGTAAAGTGCAATAGGATTATATTCCAGCATTAAGTGTGCTTTGGGTTCACACTTTGCACACTGGATTCTCCTATGTTTATATGTAGAAAGATTTTGCATGTGGCTCTTTCGTAGGGATGCCAAAATCTAAATGATATTATCAGAATTAGATTTTTTTTATATAGCTTAATTGGCATTTAATGGTTGTCTGGATTTTTGCAGCTAAAATAACATATTCTGATAACTCTGTTCTTCCCAGAAATGTACAGTAACAATAGTGTACAGAAATAATTCCCTTTTATTTCTTCTTGTAAAGTAATGTAAGCTACTTACAACCAGTTTTCAAAGTTGCAGTGGCCACAATCACAACATGGACACATGATTGCATTTTGGGTGCTTGGCAACCAACTCACCTTTACAACTGTTTATAGTGTCCTATAGTCACATGACTACAATTTACAGTTTTTTTTTCTAATTTCTATTTCTGGCAAAAGCCGTCCACAGGGGCACATTAATTCCTTTAATTACTAATGCCAAAAATCAGGTCTGGTTATGTGCTGCTTCGATTTATGACCACAGTGACTTATGACCATAATATGAGGCTTAGTTGTTCTCATAAGTCAAGGATTGCCTGTATCTCCCAGATGTCTGACCAGAAGGATCTGAATAAGCTTCTACTTGTCTCTAAAATCCTCCCAACCCAAATATTTACTTGTTTTCCCTGATTAACTAATAGAAGTATAGATGGAAACATACAACCCAAGATTACCTGGAACATACTTGTGTTATATTGTACACATATCTGAAATTCTAAATTACTAGAATTTGTGAATCACAATTGGATAAATGTAAATAAAAAAAATAACAAAGTGAATATGTAAAACAATCTTGTTTCAATGCCAATTTTCCTCCTAGCCTCATACAGACAAATGGCATATTTCCTACATAAATTAAAGATTCAGTATTCTATTTTAGATGGTAAACCCATATATTTGGATTACATCTTTATGTAGATATATGTAAGTATTAATGATATATTGATGGGTTTTTTTGAAAAACTGTTAGTTGGGAGTTGCCCAGAGTTTGATAAAAGTTGGATGGCTATATTAAAATTACTAAATGTTTTAAATAAATAAATAATTGACAATCTTGTTTTGTTTTGCTCTTTCCCAGCAGCCCTTTATAAAAATAAGATTCAATCTCTCCTTTTGAGGGACAATTCTCCATTTTCCTTTCTTATGGGCAATTTTTCATCTCTCTGTAAATGAAGCTCCATTAAGCAGGATTCCGCTCAATCTGTATTCAATACTAGCATTAAACTTTATGAGAATATATCTCCTAGAATGTATCAATTTTTTCTTCACCACTGAATAATTGTTTATAATATACACTATCATAAAAATATGTATCTGCTACTACAAATTTGTTTCCAAGCTAGTATCTTTGCAGAAAGGATAAATACAAATGATTAAATAGTTCTTTTAATGTTTTATTTATGTATATCCCATTTTTATTATGTTTATAAATAATTCAAGGCAATGAAAATACCTAACACTCCTTCCTTCTCCTATTTTCCCCACAACAACAATCTGGGAAGGTGGGTTGGACTGAGAGAAAAAG